CTGGTTTGAGATGAGAGACTTCATCTCTTCTTTCATGGCAAGCTCCTACTTGCTCGCATCTCCACCCTGATAAGATTCATCATAGCTTTTAGACTCCTCTCCATCTGTCAGCAACAGATAGTTCATATATCTCCTGTTGGGCACAGGAGATCGAGAAGATCTTATCAATTTCAGAGCTAGTGCGTTGGGCTCCTGCTCACCATTCTGTCCAACATGCTCTTCTAGCTGAGGACATGTTGCATTTGGTTCTTTCTAGAGGTCACCTGAGACATCATCTACATCTACAAATGTTGACTCGCTCTCCTTTGATTCAAAGACATTTGTTTTATGCATGTCCTTGTACATCACCTTCTCGTTGAATATCACATCTCTACTGCCGATCATTTTCTTGTTTTCATTATCATAAATACAATAACCGAACTCATCTTCACCATAGCCGATGAAAGTGCGTTTCTTAGACTTAGGATCAAGATTATTCATGCCTTGATCACTAATATGCACGTAAGCTACACAACCAAAAACTTTGAGAAATGAAAGTTTTACCTCCTTTTTGCATCATACCTCATCTGGTATTCTGTGCTCCAATGGAACCGATGGACCTCGATTGATCAAGTAAGTTATTGTGTTGACTGCTTCTGCCCAGAACTGCTTCGGTAGGCCTAACTGTATACGGATGCTTCTGGCTCTCTTTGTCAACGTTCTGTTCATCTGCTCAGCTACACCATTGTGCTGAGGCGTGTCGGACACAGTTCTCTCCATTCTGATCTCGAGCTCATAGCAGAACTTCTTAAATCCGGTGTCTTCACACTCACCACCATTGTCGGTCCTGAGCTTCTTTATTCTCAGACTAGTCTCATTCTCGACCCTGGCTTTCCATCTCCTGAAAGCCTTAAATACTTCTGACTTATGTTTCAGAAAGTAACCCACACTTTCCGAGAGTGATCATCGATAAAAGTCACAAAGTAGTGTTTCCTACCAATGGACGCGGTGGTTATTGGTCCCCAAATATCTGAGTGAATGAGCTCAAGCTTCTCCTTCTTCGGGGTTCTGTCACTTGTTTGAAAGCTAACACTCTTTTGCTTTCCAAGTATGCATTCTTCACGTATATCAATCTCTACTGATTGTAAACATGGGAGTTTTCCCTTTGTGTGCATAATATTCATCCCTTTTTCACTCATATGACCAAGACTCTGGTACCACGGCTTTGAAGTCTCATTGCCTGCTGCAACTGAGATTAAACAACATGCATCTGCTATCATATATAAGGTACCAGTCTTCTTGCCTCGGGTAATCATCATTGCACCCTTTGAGATCTTCCAATCATCTCTATGGAAGCTCGTAGTGTATCCTTCACCAGCCAACTAACCTACGGATATTAAGTTCTTTCTCAGGTCGAGAATATGCTTGACATCCTTCAGCTCCCATATTGACCCGTTCAACTTAATTTTCACTACACATTTACCCACAATAGCACACGGTTGATCATTACTAAGGTATATATACCCAAGACTCTTCCTTGCTCCTCAAAGAGTATATCAATGCGTCGTTTCCTCCTGACGTGGAAGTGACATTCACCTCTGCCTTCGCCTCCTTCTCCTTCTGAACACTCTTGCACTGATTCTTGTAATGCCCGGTCTTTCCATAATTCTAACACTCGATAGCCTTCGAGCTGTTGCTTAGATTCCTGGATTTGGACCTCCTATCCTTTGATCTACCTCTATAGTTTGATTTGTCTTGTCCATTCTCTCTGGTTGAATTTCTACCTCTTGACTTTGTATGTAATACTGAAGAGGTTATAGCTTCACCCGATTCTCTCTGTCGGATCTCCTCACTGAGAACCAGATCATGAACGTCATCGAACTTCAACTTGTTGCTTCCCGACAAGCTACTCACAACTGTGACTATAACGTTCTGGCTTTCTGGCAGGGAAGACAAAAAGGATCAACGCTCAAACTTTCTCATCAAACTCAATTTCAACTGAACTCAATTGAGTTGTGACCGTGTTGAGTTCATTGAGGTGTTGTGTTACTGACATGCCTTCCGTCATTCTCAGATTGAATAACTGCCTTATCAAATGAACTTTATTTATGACTGATGACTTCTCATACATATTTGAGAGTGCTGCCATAAGACCCACCGTGGTCTTCTCCTTCACAATATTGAATGTAACATTACGAGTTAATGTCAATTTGATAACTCTGAGGGCTTGTCTGTTTAGAAGGTTCCGCTCATCTTCCTTCATAAACTCCGACTTCTTCCCTGAAAGGGGTTGGTATAGATTTTTCTAATACAGATAATCCTCTATCTGTATTTTTCAGACTCCAAAATCTGTTCCATCAAACTTCTCTAATCTCACATTTCCTTCATCTGCAGTCATTGCTCCTACTTGAATCTGACTTATTCTAGATCGTTTCAGGCTCTGATACCAGTTGTAAGGGAAAAATACTCAGGGCTAGCTAAACCCCTAAAACACCAAGAAAATGTAGTAGAGAAAAAACACCAAGATTTAACGAGGTTTGGCAAACTTGCCTACGTCCTCAGGAGCCACACAATTAATTTCTTATTAACTCTTAGAAATTATAATGCAAGAGCAGATCTCAAACTTGAGATCTCTCAATAAATACAAATCTTCACTGTAGCTACAGTAAATATTCCTCTTTAATTCCCCTTCTTAAATCTCCCCTTAAAATATCAGAGCACTGGAGAAAAAGAAAAAGGGGCAGAAAGAAAAATCGCCGCCACCAGGGAGAGAAATCATGAGAAGGAAGAAGAGAAGCAACGAATCTCGTGCTCAGGGTTTCCCTTTTATAGGGAAACCCTAGTGACAGGCTAGCGACAGGCTGTAGCCATGCGTGTGCTCGACCTCGCCTACAGGTGCCTCGACCTTGCTTGCAACAAGCCACCTCGAGCTTGCTTGGATCTTACGTCGACATCGCCTGCTTTACCTCGTTGAGCTCGCCTGCATCGCCCTAAGCTCGCCTGCAATGGACTCGAGCTCGCCTAACCCTGCCTGGAGCTCGATCTCATCCGTCTCAACCTCGCCTGAAGGAGCTCGCCTGAGACTTCGCCTGGACCTCGCCTGAAGCTTCGCCTAGACCTCACCTGAAGCTTCGCCTGCACCACCTCGACTTCGAGCTCATCGTCTAAAGGTAGGTTTGGGCTACACCCAAATCCAACATGAGAATATTTGTTTGAAGTTAGTTCCCAACATGGAATGTTACTTGTAACCTTATGTTTAACATTGCTCCAAACTCAAACATGTTGGAATGAAACTTATCTGCACCACAAAAACATTTAAACCCCTCTACTCATTAAAACACCGCACCATCTAGTGTTCAAATTTACCATCTGTTATGGAATATTATACAGATCTATTAAATTAAAAATAATATATTAGGAATATATTATTGAGAGATGTTCGGTTTGTGATTGAATATGATTTTATATCATATCTATTTTATAATATCCTCCTAACTTTTACTTAAGAGAGGATAGGGTTAGATGAATAATATCTTCATAATATCGGTCTTTTTCTATTTCTCATAATGGTATTAGAGCCAAGTTATTGAAACTAGAGGCACCTCCTTCCTCCTCCATGATCTCGCGGCCCGCCGAGGGTTTTTTTGCTGCACTACATGCTTCCTCTCAACGGCTTCGACGCTGACCTCGACTACATCAACTCGCTCTCATCGGCCACATCACTGTTCATCAGACGTGTGACTATTCATTATTGTAGTATTGTTCACAGGAGAGCAATTTGTGGCTACTGTTCACCCGAGAATACTATCATCCGACCCAAGTCCAAATCTTTTAAGCTAATCATTTGGCTTACTATAATAGAACTTTATAGATCTTAAGCAAGTTAATCACTTGACTTAATCTACTAGATATTCATAGATTTGGAGGCAAAAATACTGTTCATTCGCGATTACTTATTCGCCACATATGCTGTTGGGTCTACTGTTCATCCGCGGTGCTGTTGGCCACAAGTTACTATTTGTCCGGATCGTCGATCACCTTCATGCTCCAAAATCCTTGCCTTTGATGATTGATCTCGCATAGATCTCATCAACTTGATCTCGCCCTCATCATCAACCTTTGCTTCCTTGTCGATCTTTGGTCGAGCTCAAAGTCAACTCGACCTTTTGGATTATTTGTTTGGCAGATCCTTAAAGAAGGATCATTTGTTGTAGGATCCTTAAAAAATAAGGTCATTTATTGTTGGATAATAGAAAGGATCATTTGTTGTTGGATTATTTAAAGAATGATCATTTGTTGTTGGATCCAAAAGGAAGGATAATTTATTATTGGATCTTCTTAGGATCATTTGATTGGTGGAGTGTGTGTGCTTTATTTGTAAACAAGTTAGATGTATATATCATACATGCTCCAGCTTGAGGGGGAGTGTTAAGTAATATTATAGAGATCTATTAGATTAGGAACATATTATGGAGATATATTCGAGATGTGATTAGATATGATTTTGTAATATCCTCCTAACCTCTATTTTAAGAGAGGCTAGGGTTAAATGAATAATAACTTAACCTTGTTGGTCTTTTCCAATTTCTCAACACCAACATTAACCCATTTAAGATTAAAACATTCGACAGAAATAATAATTTAGAGGAGTTGGGGACCTGTGGCAATTTCAATCATTTGAAGGACTGAGCAGAGAGTATTAAAGATGTAACGGGCTATGCAAGAGGGGTAAACGAAAAACAGAAAAACAAATAAGAAATGGGTCTAAATTACGGGCCGGGTCAACCAAATCCCCCACCCATACCCAATCCCCGCGTCGGCTTTACGCAATCGCATCCAGGTCCTCCCACCTCACGCTTTACCCACTCGTCACCGCCTCCGTCCCATTCTTTTATCGTCTCGATCGATCCCTCTTCCACCCTTCACTTCCCAAACCCCCCCATAAAACCCTAGCTCGTCCTCCTCCGCTGTTACCATGCTCGCCAAAACCGCCTAACCGCCCCGCCGCCTCATCGCGCCGCCTGCTCCTCCTACCTCCGCCCCCTCTCCACCGCCGCCGCCGCGCCGCCCTCCCTCGCCACGCGAGCGATCCCTCCACCATCACCGTCAAGGGCGTCAAGATCTCAGCTCGCCCTCTCTACCTCGATATGCAGGCCACCACCCCCCTCGATGCCTCGCGTCCTCGACGCCATGCTCCCCTTCTACCTCCACCGCTTCGGCAACCCCCACTCCCGCACCCACCTCTACGGATGGGAGTCCGAGTCCGCCGTCGAAACCGCCCGTTCCCAAATCGCCGACCTGGTCGCCGCAAACCCTAAAGAACTCTTCTTTACCTCCGGCGCTACTGAATCCAACAACATCTCAGTCAAGGGCGTCATGCACTTCTACAAGGACAAGAAGCGCCACGTCATCACCACGCAGACCGAGCACAAGTGCGTCCTTGATTCCTGCAGGTACCTGCAGCAGGAAGGGTTTGATGTTACTTATCTTCCGGTGAAACCCGATGGGCTTGTGGATCTTGACCTGCTGCGGTCTTCTATTCGGCCGGATACTGGGCTTGTTTCGATCATGGCAGTGAATAATGAGATTGGCGTGGTTCAGCCGATGGAGGAGATTGGAAGGATTTGTAAGGAGAAGGGGGTTCCTTTTCATACGGATGCTGCTCAAGCTCTTGGTAAGATTCCGATTGATGTTGATAAGATGAATATTAGTTTGATGTCTTTGAGCGGGCATAAGATTTATGGGCCGAAGGGTGTTGGAGCGCTTTATGTTCGTCGGAGGCCAAGGATCAGGGTTGAGCCGCAAATGAGTGGAGGCGGGCAGGAGAGAGGGATTCGGAGCGGGACAGTTCCCACTCCGTTAGCTGTTGGGTTCGGAGCTGCTTGTGAGATTGCAAAGAAGGAGATGGAGTATGATAGTAAGAGGATTTCTGCGTTACAGGAAAGACTATTGAAGGGGGTTCGGGCAAAACTGGATGGTGTAGTGGTGAATGGGAGTGAGGAACATCGATATGCAGGGAATTTGAACTTGTCTTTTGCTTATGTTGAAGGGGAGAGCTTGTTGATGGGGTTGAAGGAGGTGGCGGTTTCGAGTGGGAGTGCATGTACAAGTGCGAGTTTGGAGCCTTCTTATGTTTTGAGAGCGCTCGGGGTTGATGAGGATATGGCTCACACTTCGATTAGGTTTGGAATTGGGAGGTTTACGACGGAGGAGGAGATTGATCGGGCAGTGGAGCTTACAGTGAGGCAGGTGGAGAAGTTGAGGGAGATGAGCCCCCTTTATGAGATGGTGAAGGAGGGGATTGATATTAAGAGTATCCAATGGGCACAACATTGAGGTGATGAAGAAAACGAGGAAAGATGATGAAGAAGATGAGGAGGGGAGGGCTGATGCTGTCTACATCAGGTTTTCTCGCTCCTTTTCTTTATTCTAAGCTATTGGGTGCATCATTATGTGTTAAATTTTGATGATATAAATGCTTGTATATGCACTACACATCCAGGGAGACATCTTTTCTTCAAATGTGCACTTTGTATGGAGCTTGTTAGCGACTTGTATGAATAATAATTATATGTGGTTATCTATTTAGCTGTGATAACCCTAATTATTGTGAAGAAAAGTCACTTCTTTGGTCATGTATGGCCAAGTCACTTCTTTGGTCATGTATGGCCTCTGGATCATGTTATGATCATAGTTCAGTAATTATGTGATTGAAGACATGTGTTGTTGAATGGTTTGCTAATGATGCTCACGGATTTGTTTAATGTTATTGAATGATTTCATAATGTTGTTTTCTGTTTTGCCTCATATATTTTCTGTTTAGGAGTAGCCAAAAAAACATATTATCTTATAGAAGGCCTTATATGTTCCTGTAAGGAAATCTTAAATCTAAAAAACTGGAGCTAGTTCTTGAGATTTAGCTGTGGTTCTTGAATACAGTTTCTGTGATGGTTTTTATGGCTGTAGAGTACTTTTAAAGGAGGTCTTATTGTAGACTTTTACAACTTTTAAGCACCATAAGTGCCAGATAGATTGTTTGCTTGTTTTTTTAAGTTGGACTTCCGAATTCATGACTTGGGTTGAAAATGCTTTTAATTTTCATCTTGGGTTTTTTGCTCTTTTCTTCTTCAAGCTTTTAGTGCACACGTGAAGTCATAATAACCAGTCATGTTTTCTTTTCCGGCAAAATGGTGGACTATTGCTGTTTCTCATCGCAAATACTGTTTTTTTAACCAAAGAATTGTGTTAATGTTGTCTCTCTCTCTGTGTGTGTGTGTGTGTGTGTGTGTGTGTGTGTGTGTGTGTGTGGTGGGAGTGAGGATTAGGAAATCTAGTTTAAAACCATTGGATATCTTATACTTCATAGGCATGTACAGATTTGGCATCTTTCCGGTGAAGATAAGATCTTTAAGTGCTCTCTTAGTACTCAAAAGTTTGGTGAGAAATACAAGCTTTTCTTTGGTCATTTCTGTAGCACGGGTTGGTATATGCGCATGATAGGTGTGTCTAGTCTGTAGGATTTTAAGGTGTCCAACACATTAAGTAGCTGTCTTGTACCTATATCTAGTGTTTGTCTATGCAAGTAGATATAGATGTATGCATGCAGTGTTGTCTATTTGGTCCATGGTTCCATAGAATAAATTAAACATAAGTGCATGACGAATGTTAGGTCCTTTGGATACATAGTTTAGAATGGTGCAACAAGATGCGGTGCTGTTATAAATTTAGCTCGTTACTTCATATCTCAATTTTCTTGAGGTGTTGGACCCAGGTTGCTCAACTCAGTTTAAGATGGTGTTCTTCGATGTTGATAAATTTAGAAGATGTTAGAATCGATTGCCGTAAAAAGCCTACAAACCTGGTAAACGCTTTACTTGAAATGATGTACAGTCATTTCGTTTTAACCGAAAGCTATAGTGCTGGCCCCTAGATGCAGTTCAAAAGAAGTCTTACTTTGTCCCACTTCAACCCGCTCTCAGACGAGCTAAAGTGGGATCAAAGTGATCTATGCACTTTCCAAAATACGCTCGATGTGCTTATGTATAGTTCAATTCTATCAAGACCTACTTTGGTTTTATAGAGATGTATTCTTCCATTTACTACCTTTATATTATCTCAATGTTAATCGTCTAACTATGTGATTGGGAGAGGATTTCGCAACGATGACACTTTCACAAGTCTTTAAATGACCATTTCTTAATTATTTAATAATTTTCAATTGTCACAGTGGGTTCATGAGAGAGATGAGAGAAAAATGAAAGAACAAAGAGGGGGGAAAACTAGGGTAGTTTATGAATTTTAAAAATGCAGTTTGTTATTAACTTTACTCTTTTAAACTATAAAATGATTGACTTTTTGCTCTACAAGAGGCTTTTGAGTGAGTCCATTGTATTTATTTAATGTAACTTGTTAAAAAAATCTTGTATTTTATTATTAATAATCTTTTATGTCTTTAACATTTATATTATTCTTGTATTGACATTGGTTATCAACTTCATTCTTTAAAACTACAAAATATAAACTCTTTGCACTGTAAGAGGCTGGAGTCAATCTATTGTATTTATTTAATATAAATCATTCAAAAAAGTCTTTTTTAATGATACTAGCATTATTGCATGATGCAAATGCACATTTTTAGTATAAAAAGGGTCATTTTAATACACTAAAGTACTATAGATATTTTTTAATGATATTTGTTCATTTAATATGTGATATTTTATCTTACCTTATTCAAAATTTGCTATAACATATATTTCAATTAAGTAATGACGTAATTTTCCTAGATATGTCATTAATAAGGGTATTTTTTTAATTTTTCATCTTTAGATTATTTTATTTAATTATTTTGAAGCTAAATATTTAGTTATACAATTTCAATAGTATTTATACTGGAATATATTGAAATTCTAATTGTTGTTTTTACTATATTTATTTACATGGAAAATAATTTTATTATTTTGTATTTATATCTTTTTATAGTATATAATGTAGCGGGTATTTAATTAATAAGCTCTATGATATGCTTTAGAAAGTTCTAAAAGTAAAGAAAAAAATTGTGCAAAATAACCAAATTGTCCTCATGCCTTAAGTGAGATGAAAGATATTGCCCATGTCCTTCAAACTTTTCCTACCCTCACTTTGTTTTTAATATTGCCTTGAAGTCCCTTGATGTCACTGTGATTCACTTTTCTAAAAATCAATTATTCCTTTGTGATTCCTCCATGCATTGGCTGATTAATGCGAATCCGAAAAGCATTACTTTAGCTGAGAGCAAAAAGCAGGTTGTAAACTAACTACTGCAAGTATGGTTTCGGTGGAGTGGATGGATACTTAGGTTTGAGATCCTAAGTAGGTTGGTATAGGTTTAGTATCCTTAACAACTTAATTCTTTTAACCATTGTCAAGAAATTTGGTCGCGTTTTCCTCTTGATAGCATTCATGTCAAGTATTTCCCATTCTGTAGTGCTTCCTCATTCATTCCTGGATAATTCGCTTTCTTTGCATGTATTTAGGTTTTTCCTTGACGGTAACAGGATTATGGCTTTGCTTGAACATGACCCATGACCATTTATATAGCAATTACTGGTAGGTAGTAACTCTTCCTTACAATTAGTTGGATGGTTCAGGACTTCAGACTCTGTTCTGTAATACTGATTTATGACCCCAAAAAATCCTTTACTTTTAATTATTCTAATAGGTTATCTTTCTCGATGCACTAATATTTGTTTTTATGATATTCTAAAAAATGAACTTTTGCTACTTGCGGTACTAGCCAGATGTAGCATTTCCTTTTTGTTCTATCCTTAATTCATCATCTCATTGCTATAGGGGAAAGTATTGTTTTACATGTTAGTTTAGGAGTTGCATGCCATAGTATATCTTAAGTTATCATTTTTCTATTTGTATCTGGAATGATGTTTGGAAGACATAATCTTTAGAGTTGGTTACTTGTCTGTAAATCCTTGTCAAAATTCTCAGCAGATTTTACACCATAGCTTACCCATTTTGATGGAAAAATGCTCACCTGATAATCCTGATGATCCTTGGCAACTGTTAAATTATTTCATCTGGGTTCTCTGACTAGCCATTAACAAAATACCCCATTACAGTTTGGAGAGATGAACCTCTAATACCCAAAACAATTAGTAATGATGTATGATACGCTCTTATTTTTCTTATTGCTGCCTTATTAATTAGGTGAATAAAAACTGGAATGTGTTTTCAATCTGCTGCTGCGCTCAGTGTTATTGAGGCGCGCGCGCGCCTCGGGCGCGGGGCGCTGCAGGTTAGGGCAATTGCGCCCCGCACCAGAGGCGGGGCGCTGCACCCACACGAGGCGTGCGCGGCCTCGCGCCTCGCGTGCGCCTTGCTCGCGCCTCATGTGCACTTGACACTTGCATTATGTAATACTCTTTCTTCTATTTTTTAAAAAAAATAATTTACATATTACATATTTACATCATGTAATAGACTCTTTCTTGCTAGTTAATCCATTCTCCATCTTTTCATGTTTAACCTATAAAAAGAAAATAGTAATTAGTAATTTAGTATACTTGTTTGCTAACAATAACTTCCTTTTCTAATTAGCATGCTAACTAGAAATTATGAACATGTAAATATGTAATTGTTATCTTCATTCTTCATATTTTCATGCTAACTAGCAAATAGCAATTAAGAATGCTAACTAAAAAATTATGAACAGTCATATTTGTTAATCATTTAATTATTACTTAAAAATACATATATCAATTTTAAATGAAAATACATATTTCTTATTTGTTACTTGCTTGTTTTGTTTCATAGACTTTTGCTTATGTTGGAGATTATCTTGCATTGTGATTTGTGAAAACTTATGAACTTCTCTATGTTATGCATGCTAATTAAGACTCTTTCGTGATTTAGTATGTGAAATTATATTTCTTAGTTTTTTTATGTTACAATTTATAAACATGTTGCTTATATGCTTTTTTGTCTTATGTTGGAAAATGTTAGTTTGAGTTATGCGCCTCAATTCAATGAGGCGCACGCATCATTGTGCGCCTTGCGCATGGTGCGCATAAGGGGCCTTTGCACCTCGCGCCTCGATAACACTGGCTGCGCTAACACCCTTAGTTGTTATCTGGACACAGTTTTCATGCTATTATCAGTATGTGAACAAAATGAAACAGTATTCTCAGTGATTGTCTCAACTACGAGTGACCTTTATCTTGATCCTATTAGGCTTAGATGTATTTTGGCCTTTGTTCTAGGATTGAGTGCCTGTGCAGGGCCATATGTATGTTTGTGTTTACATATTTCGATTTATCCCCCTTCACTTTGTGGTCATGTTTGATTTGGGAGTAAGTATAATATAATTGTATTAGCTTTTAAGATTTATAAATTCCAGACAAGCCAATGGAATCATTACAAGCATTAGTTTGTAAAAAGTCATACAGAAGTAGAATCCAAGTCTGCAGGAATTAATTAATATCTTCAAAAGTGGTGCACAATTTTCACAGAAATGTTTTATGGCTCTGTCATCTTAGGTGCATTGGAAAATTGATGTCTCTGCCTATGGACTTTCAAAGTTGCTCTAATGCCAAACATCTGCTTCGTATGGGAGCAATTATATTACTTATGTTGTTCTGCATCGGAGGCCTAAACTGGGGCATGAAAAGCATTTCTGTGAAAATTGCATGTACTGAAGCTATCTGGGGCATGAAAAACAGACATTCTGACATACCATTTAATACTTACGAGCTCATGGTATTTGGCATTTATATGCTACAATTTGTTTATTTAAGTGATGAATCAGAGTTTTTCGTTGCCATCTCAATCAATGATCTAGCCTTTGGCACTGGAAACAGAACAAACCAAATTAGAAAATGGATTTGTTTTTCATCGGCAAGTGCTGGGAGAATTTGTACCGGTGTTTTCTTTAGATATTACTGACCTTTTGCCCTTAGGTTTGTATCCTACTTATTTGGGGAAGCATCCACAATGTGTCATTGCGTAAGTTGTATGGGGCTGGTCTTACTATTTGATGACAACAATGAGCGGATGAATAGATTATGGTCTTGGGAGTAAAATGCACACAATTATAATTGATAGAATTTATGTGGTTAATTTAGAATTCTAACAGGATTTTTCATCTATTGTTGATACATTTCACCCTCTGTTTTTTCATTTATCTGAGCTTGTGCTAGGATAACAACACAACCCATCTTTTGACTGTCACACTATCCTAGCTCCATTGGTAGCCGATCTTTCAGCCTCACTTAACAGATTACATTGGTGTATTTTTGTCTCGCTCTTCGGTTTCGATCTCAGACAGGTAGAGTGAGCTTTTCTTTTGCTAATGATTTAAGGTATGGATTCCATATGGAAAACAGCATTTTTTGGCATCATTCCTTGGCTGTTGTATCACTACAGCTAGAAAGCTAATCAAGACATGCACAAAGTGATTGATAACCATTCATCATCCAATTACTGGTCCCAAATTTGTGGTCAAAAGACTATAAAAGTGATAGTGATAGAAGTATGATGGGAGGTGTTTGGACCATCTTTTGTGCTATTCATTTTTTATGCGACGTGTTTTAGAGCCGGTGTACCAGATCTTTGTATATATGGTGTCGTTTGGTTTTCATATTTAGCTCTGTCTTGATGAAGCGTTCAGGCTGCTTTTTTTTTTTTTTTTTTTTTTTTTTTTTTTTTTTGCGTTGAAGCATAATAATATTTACGGAGGGTGAAGTGTTTTGGAGTTTGGAACGTATGGAAAGCATGACGGTTGGACCCTTGTGGCTATCTTTACTCTTTCATTGTTCTTTCAGGAGTGATTTCTGAAAGGAAACGAACAAATTGTAAAACTTTTCAGAGTATATTCTGAATTTATATCTTGTCTTCCCTTAATTGTGTGGGCTGGAATCTACCAAACTAACTTGGACCCTATTTTCCGATATGATATTTATTTCTATTCTAGTGTTGATATATGATTTTTTAACTTGTACCCTGATGATAATATGATATTTTTCCGGGAAACTTTTTTGTGCGGACGGGGTGGGTGGGCGTGTTTTTTTTTTTGGGGTTTGCGCGGGGATGGGGTGGGGTGTGTGTGGAAGTCTTACATCATCTTGACCTGTAAAAATTATTAAATCTACATCATCTTCTCTTTTAACCTTCCCTATTACAAATTTCTTCTATTATTTTACCTTGTAAGGTCCTCCATCACTTTTGCTTTCCCTCTCATTAATGGAGCTTTCTCTTTGTTCAAACTCTCTCAATTTAAACATAACCCTGATCTAAATTGATATCAACTTGGATGAAGGTTGTTGGGGGTTAGATTGAACTGGGGGCAGGTTGAAGGAGAGAGATGGAGCTCAAAGGAGGATCTTATTGAATAATTGGGTGGAAAAAAATTGATTGAGGGAGGTTGAAGGAGGAGGGTGTAGATTTAAGGAAATTTTTTTAAGAAAACACAATCTACTAGAATTCTCTTCATCGGCGAGGAAAAATGGCATTATCGTCTTCATAGCACAAGTTACAATATCGTATTAACGCCGAAGCATGAATAAATAACATACAGAAAAGTATGGTGTTTTGGCCTATTTATATATGAAGACCTTGTTTTCTCTTATTTTAAGTCTACCTCATGTACACCAGTTATAGCGTATCACTACATGAAACACGTATCTCAACATGAAAGGGGAAAGGGAAATGTGAAGGTGAAGAAAAGAAAAGAGAGGATTAAATTTTTCATGTATCATACTAGGAAGTCCTAATCTGGCTCAAACCTATATATGGACGTGAGATTATGGATCTTATCAAGCTAATTAATGTCTTTGGACAGCTACTGTATGACTGGCGAGCATCTGGTAAGTATTGGGGGAACATCATTAGGCGGAAACCACGATAAAGTGATGCATTGATGGATTTCTCACCCGTGCAAGAATCCAAAAAAAAAAAAAAAAAATTAAATCTATTGTAGTACTATGATTTTAAAAGGGTTTGGACTTGTCTTTGCATCCATTTTGAACATAAATTTCATTTTCTCTCGTCATCGTAGTATTATAGATTTTATACTGAGATGTTTCTCTAAACAATGCTTGGATCAGCTCATTCTGTAACAGACCAAGCTTGGACCGCAACTATTTTGCGTCGATCTTTGTTTTCGAATTGCTGTCAATCCAAAGCTTGTTTTCGATTTGCTGGGTCTGTAATGCGTAATGTTTTACCATGACAGGGTGAAAAGTCTCATGAATGCTCTTACTTTCATCAATTCACTCGACAAGACCCAGCATATATATCATCAGTCTTTTCAATCCCAAAGACGTACAGAAATATAATAATTAAAGAAAGTTTCACCCGGCACATGCTGTTTTGGTGAATCTTGTCCGATTGTCTCCGCTGTTGATGTTCGATTATTGTCTTTATCGTATGCTCGCCATCTACGGATTGAGATCACGTGTCACTCCTGCGGTTGCACAGGATCCTTCCTACGTTCATGTGTAAAAGGCTGGACATGGAAACTTGACAAAAATTCTAAAGCAACCAGGAAAACTAAGCATGTAGATTATGACGGGAGAGAAAAGTTTCTCCTGAATTCATAATTCGACGAAGGTGAAATGATTTCATTTCCACATCCAAAGAACAGAGCAAAAACAAACTAAAAGGGCCAGCAAAAAACTGCTAAATTTCTATACAAAATTCAAATTGATCACTACTCTCTCCTCACTTTCTCCCATTATGGATTAAGGATCCTACTACCACACTTGCATTTCCAATTCATGGGCTTGTAATTAGAAGTATCCTCACTTCTTGAATTGATCACATTAGAGAAATGCTCAACTTTCTGTGGGGCTACAGGAACCTGAATTGCTTCACAATGGCCGCATGAGATGCATCTCCTCTCACATCTTGGCGGCCTTGAACCAATCATGGAGCTCATCACCATCCCTTCCCCTTCTCCCTTCAATCAATACAACAATCTCACATGAACAGATTAGCAAAAAAAAAAAAAAAAACTACTACCCATTAGAGAAATGAGGGCTAAGATTAGCGAAACGCAATCAAAATCTCACCTTGGCCGCTGGTCTTCTGCCTTCAGCAGAGAATTTTACTTGCGCTGAGCTGAAGATGAGAAGAACTGAGATGATGTAGCAGTAGCAGAGAGCCATTTTTAAGAATAAAATGAAGAAAGAACACAAGAAAGAGAGCTCTAGCTAGTTATATAACTCGCTATTCACCACTCAAAGTATTGAGTAGGTAGTTAACTAATTGTATAGCTCTCAGCTGTCCAATCACTCAAAAGAGGCAAATGGGCATTGAGGAACTGTACTAACAGAGCCAGGTACTGTCCTCATCAACAGACATAGATATCTCTGCAAAAGGCATCAAATAGTTGGAGCAAGCAAAGGCTTCACAAGAAAAGAGAGAAAATGAGCAAACTCAGTGCGCATTGATCCAAGAGCTCCCCAAGCACAAAAGATCAAAGAGTACTGAGAAATGGATGTCTGAGGGCTGCCCAAAATAGCAATGAGGCCTGAGGAGCAAATACTGAAGACCAAATGGAAAAAGACATGAGAGAGCAGCTGTGTGTGCTTATTGCCATTATTACTGAACTTTTTGCTGCTCCTGTTTCTTTTATGGTGATTACTTGTGAGGTTTGGTTTTCTCTGCTGCAAAAGACAAAGTTAACACGCTAGCATGATATTCACTGCTTTGAGAAGGATGGAAGTTGGAAGAGAATGCAGCACTGTATGGTTGAGTGCTGAGGAGTTGGTGGTTGACGAGTATCATCAGTTTTGGCTAGAGATTGGCTGGCTGCATTATACTATCATTAGCATTTATATGGCATTCAGCATTCAGGTGCCCACTATTAGAAGGGCTCTTTGGTTGATTTCCTAGAATTAAAAAAAAAAGAAAATAGGATAAGTAAACTATTAAAAGTTGCTGGTCATCAATTTCCTTGAAAAAAAAACATGAAATAAGTTTTCTAAAAAATAGATCACATCATCCAATAATATAGTAACAACTCATCTTATCTCATCTATTTTTCTCAAAATAAAAGAATCTATTATAGTAAATATGTTTTTTATAATTGATTTTTTTGTTTTTTACCCAACCAAACGGCCCCTAAGAAGAGATAAAAATGATGCTCACATCATCATCTCACAGGGAGAAGCTAGACAAGGATTGTAAAATGTAATTGTAAGGTAAAAAATCACAAACTCTGAAATTTACGCCATCCAACGCAATGAGACATATTCTGGAAGTTGTAAGATTGATATCAATTGGATTTGATTTTCCATTGCTCTTTGCTTTGTATTAGCTGATTGTGATCTCTATCTGCTATCTAATGCATTTGAGAAATAAATACATTATTATAATTTATTAATTAATTAAAACATACAACATTAGTTTTTTACATTATGGGTATGCTTAGGGCTGTCCATCCGGTCCGGCCCGGCCCGGCCCGGCCCGGGCAAAACCCAAGCCCGGACCCGGGCCCGGGCGGCCCGGGGATTTTTTTTAAGAATTTTTTTTTTGTTTTTTTTTTAATTTTAACAAAACCATAAATCATAAATTATTTTAACAAAACCATAAATCATAAATTATTATAAAAAATATCATAAATGTAATTAATAACTTGAAATGAAATGACATAAATTACAAGTACAAAAAATGATAAAAATAACTTCTTTATTAATAATCGGTAAATCCTTTACGAGTATAAATTTATTTCGAAATTCGTCGCATCACAATAGATGAGTACATCCCAACTAGGTTGGCACCTACTCACCCATATCACTATCATTTGCAACTTTTTTCGAAATAATTTAATTCAAATTTAAAGCTAAGAAATAAAAATTACAATTTTATGAATATTATCTAATCATTATATCTATCTGCTAGTCCCAACTCTTCAAATTTATCTTCAATCATAGCAATCCGTTCGATGCCTTGTGTTCGCTTCTCGTATCTCCACCAATCCTGTAAGCACATCACCGCTTGTACAGTATACGGATCTAAGCATGTCCTGTGGTCGTCGATCAAACGTCCTGCTGTGCTGAAAGCGGATTCCGAGGCTACAGTCGAAACCTGCACTGATAGTAAGTCACGAACCATGGTGGAAAGTATAGGATATGAAACTGATCCATATACTTTCCACCATTGCAAAATATCTAAAGCATTTCCTTGACATCTAACTAAAGAAGCAGAAAAATATTCATCTATTTCAGAAACATCTAATCCTGATGAAGTTCCAGATCCACCAGTTAGTTCAGCTACCATTGCATACCTATCAAAACTTACACTTTTACCTCGACCTGTGCTCGAAGCTGAAGGTGCCGAAGCTGAAGACTGTTGTGTAGCTACACCATATCTAGCTGCATACTCATCATATAAGGTTTGAAAATAATTTCTAATAGCTAAATAATGAGTAGTAGCAGTAAGGGTGGATCCATCATCTAAGTCTATAATCTGTCCACCATACAATGATTGTAACAAACTTCGAAGGCCAATTTCCTTCAAGCATGGATCAATAAGAACACCAATACCAAAAATATGAGGAATAGGCCTAAAATACTTATTAAATTTACTCTCCATTTGAAAAATTATATTTCCAAAAGTATCATCCATACGATATTTTGCAAAAAATTTTTGAATATTTAAAATTTGTAAAGCAGCTAAAGTAATAGTTGGATAATAACAACCAGATAATAACATAGTAGCATCATAAAAAACTTGTAACATCTCATTTAATTTACATATAACTGTCCATTCATCTTCAGTTATTCCATAAGCACTACCAGAGCTAGAACTAGAAGCATAAAAATTTATAAAATCATTTATAATTTCTTTATATTCTATTGCTACAGATAACATTGCATAGGTGGAATTCCACCTATGGTCAACATCTTTTGGAATTAGTCTAGGCTTATAATTTTTTCTTTTACAACATTGTTTCCATCTTTTAATTCTCATTTCAGAAGCATTATGCATATTAGTAACTGTTCTAACTTTTTCTATCATGGGTTTAATTTCAGAAAATGCACTTTGAACAATTAAATTTAAAATATGACAGATACATCTAACATGAAAAAGCTCACCATGACATGGCAATGACAAAGTTATTTTCAGAAAATCAACAGCTACATTATTATTACTTGCATTATCTAGTGAAAGAGTAAATATTCTTTGATCAATTTCTAGTTTCATAAGTTCTTCAACAATTAAATTTGCAACATTAATACCAGTGTGTGACTCTTCAATTGCAATAAAAGAAACAACTCTTTTAAACATTTTCCAACTTTCATCAATCCAGTGTGCTGTTATACATAAATAACCAGTTTGCACTCTAGATGACCAAATATCAGAAGTTAAAGAAAATTTGCAGTTTAAATTTTTAAAATAAGAAATTATTTTTCCCTGTTCCTCAACATAATATTTTAAAATATCACGTTGACAGGTTTGACGAGAAAATTTTGTAAATGCAGGATAAAAACCATCTCTAAATAAATCTTCAAATTCATCATCTTCTACTAATTTAAAAGGAAGGTTTTTAAGAACAATAAACCTGATTACGCATTTCCGGGCTCGGGCAGCGTCATAATTCCAACTGCCGAGGGTACCTGAAGAGGATGATTGGGAAAGCATAGACTGCCGGATATCACCTTGTAGATTTTGGCCTTTGTTGTGTTTTTCAATATGCCGTTTGAGATGGTTGGTGCCGCTCTTATGATGAGCTTTGAATATCTGGCCGCACAACGCACATTTCGCATTCTGAGAGATGATCCTACCGTGTTCATCCTTGGTGACGTCTATCTTCTCAAAAAAATTCCATACATCAGACCTCGGCCTTTTTGGAGCTCTTGGTGCCGTAGATTCGTCGCCACCAGATTCAGGATTAACACCGGTAGGATGAGGAGTTGTTGTAGGAGGACTCATCTCTGGATCGGTAGGAGTTGCATGTTGCTCTTCATAATCAGACCCAGAAGCCATTTGTTGGAAGTATTAGAAAATACAAAAGATTATAGGATAGTATATTAGTATGAGATAGTATAAGATTGTATAAGAGAGTAGTAGAGAGAGAAATAGATGAGTTTTGTTGTGAGAAAATGAATTGAAACCCCCCCTCTATTTATAGAAGCAGCCCCCTAGGTAAATGACCAAAAAACCCTCGAAAAATAGCCGTTTTTTGACCGTTTTAAGGGGCAAAACGGTCAAAAGACCAAATCTGGCCGTTAGGCCAGATTTGGCCCGGGCCGGGCTGGGCAACGGTCACCTTTGTGACCGTTATGGCCGGGCCGGGCCGGCCCGCCATTCGAAGCCCAGTGCCCATTTTTTGGGGCATGTTCCGGCCCCGGGCCGCCCGGACGTGGCTCGCCAACGGAGACCCGGGCCGGGCCGGGTTTTGCGCGGGTTTCCGAGCCCGACCGGGCCGGGCCCGGCCCGGGCACGACGGCCGGCCGGGCACAGGACCGGGCCGCGGGCACGACCGGGGCCCGGTCGTGCGCCGGGCCGGGCACGGGCCGGGGCCGGGCTCCGGGCTTTTTTTGACAGCCCCTAAAGTATGCTCACTGCTTAGGGGGCTGTTTGTTTTGTATCCCAAAAATTTATCGGATTATGGATTTCACGATAAAATTTGAAATCCATAAATTTTTTTAGCATGTTTTGGGATATCTAAAATTTTGTTTATTTCATCAATATTCTTGGGATTTAGAATACCTATAATTTGTAATATTTTGTTTGTTTCATCAAATATTTGGGATTTGGAATACTATAATTTATATATTATAATATATATAATATTTTAATAACATATATTATTATAATATTATATAATAATTTGGATTTGGAATACTACACCATAAACAGTGATTATTGGTTCCTCCTATATATAATTATATAATTATTCATATAATAATTATATATTATATATTAAATATATTATATATTATAGATATAATTTATAATATATAATATAATATATATATATATTATATATTATATAATATATATATATATATTATATATAATATATATAATATATAATATATATAATATTATATGTATATAATATATATATATATAATGCTACATAATTTACTACAGCATGAACAATGATTATTGGGGTCCTATATCATATTATATATTATATATATTATATATTAATATCTAATTTATATATATATTATATATATAATAATATATAAATTATATAATATATACAAATATAATAATATTATTAATCAACTAATATAATATTAATTTATATATATATATATAATCATGTAATTATAATATATATGTATATAATGCCTATAAGTATTTACTACAGCATTTACCTAGCAGCATGAACAGTGATATATAATATATAATATTATACTATAAATAATATATATACGTTATAGATATAGTATATATATTATATTATTTATTATAATATATATATATAATGTATAATATATTATATTATATATATATTATATATATAATATATATATATATTATTTATTATATAATATAATATATTATATATATATATATATTATATTATATATATATTATATATAATATATATATATATATTATTTATTATATAATATAATATATTATATATATATAATGCTACAGTAATTTACTGCAGCATTTACTAAAGCATGAACAGTGATTCTTGGGTCCTCCTATAATTATAGAGGAATAGATGTATTATATTAAATATTATATTATTATAATATTATATTTAATATATTAATCTTATATTATAAGCATTAATACATCAATATCCAACCTACATCCTCTCTCAATTGTAGG